TAAAAAATACTGTGTCAGGTGGGAACCAGTTGGCTTCAAGCAATGCCCCTCCCCCCCCACACCAAAAATGTATTGCTTTCCATCTCTAATGGAGTTCCCCGCTCATGTCATGATGCATCATAAATCGTGGTTCTGTGACCACACCGACCAAATTTTAAAAAAATGAGAGGCGGGTTCACTGCCAACAGATGGCCCCATTACGCAGAGGCGATAGGACAGTCCACGAGTATGGGCGCCAGTCTGTGTAGGATGTTAGAGCGCAAAACTGAAAGACGAGAGCGATGGTCGGGAAATCGTAAGCGTCCACGAGTTCACAGTTTAATAGAATGCGGTCTAGTGCTTGCTTGTGGGCCCTCCCCACCTAATGTCTGATGTAAGATCAGGCGGACGGCTCTGGTGATCAGGGAAAGCAAAGCATCGACGAGTTCACACCTTGGTGCGATCCTATCTGGGGTAAACATTGTAACCGCTTACCGAGATTTACAACAGAGGTGTGATCGCATTCATGAGGGTGGATGATCCGTCACATGACGGACCTTACAATGATCGCCCATTTTTGCTACTTGGTTGATCAGCTGAGCGCGCCCAGTTTTCTTTTTCTTTTTTTTTTCTTCTTAAATAACGGGGGAAAAAATTATGACCTGAAAAGCGGGATCTTAGCCGAATGTAGCTCCTTCAGTGCGGGATCTTAGGGGTGACTTTTATCTAGTAAAATTTCAGTTTTTCCAAAACAGCGGGATCTTAGGCGAACCTGGACCATAAGTGGTGGGATCTTAGGCGGACCTGGACCATAAGTGGTGGGATCTTAGGCGAACCTGGACCATAAGTGGTGGGATCTTAGGCGAACCTGGACCATAAGTGGTGGGATCTTAGGCGAACCTGGACCATAAGTGGTGGGATCTTAGGCGGACCTGGACCATAAGGGGTGGGATCTTAGGCGAACCTGGACCATAAGTGGTGGGATCTTAGGCGAACCTGGACCATAAGTGGTGGGATCTTAGGCGAACCTGGACCATAAGTGGCGGGATCTTAGGCGGAGACTGCTGTATAATATGTTGATATTTATTTGAATTTGTGGCCCCAAAGACCTGTGAACTGCGCATTAGTCACCATCTCATTTCACCCTCCCCAAAAAATTCGTCCGCAAGCCGAAAATAATGCGTGGCGAATAAGTTAAAGGCGTTGAGTCAAAAGTAAAAGATTCGATACAAATTGCCAATTGGATAGAAAAATACCTGTTATTGTCTATTTCAATATTTTGACGAGCGCCTGATTTCACCACGATGACTCACATTTGTCTGTTTGACTGGTTTCCCTCCCCCACCTCCCCTCTCCGCCTCCTTCACCATCTCCTCCCTCCTCCCCCCTTCCCTTCTTCTCACATGCTCCCCCCACCTCCCCTCTCCCCGTCCTTCACCATGTCCTCCTTCCTCCCCTTTCCCCCCTCCTCCCCCTACCCCAATGTCAAACACGTGAGACATTTGTGAGGCAACGTGGTGAAATCAGGCTCTCGTAAAAAAAACCAAAGTGAAAAAACTTGCATTTTTCCACAGGTTTGTGAATTTTTATCAAATTTTTAATTTTTGGCTCAACACCTTTCATACCCAGTAAAGAACTAATTATTCTAAAAGACGTTGATTAAAGGCACAAAAATTGTAAATTTTCAGTTACCACAGACTCTTAAGCTAAGGAAATAACTAATCTTTGACTGCCATTTTCTCACTAATTTTACCTCTGAAAACAGGTGACCCCCACCTCCTTCTTTTGCAAATATCTCGAGTTGTATTCAAGATCAAAGGATATTTTGTTTATCCAAATAAAGACAAGTGAACAAGCTTTATGATGTTACCAATAACTCTACATGCCCAAAAATTGACGAGAGCCTGATTCCACTACGTTGCCTCACATTTGTCTGTCTGTCTGGTTTCTCCCCAGACTGTGGTGGGAATCATCACTCTGGAGGACGTGATCGAAGAACTGCTTCAGGAGGAAATTGAGGACGAGACGGATATCGTTCAAGAAATTTCTCAGAAGCTTCAGTTCTCCATGGCTAAGCGTCAAAAAAGTTTGGTACGTTTGTTGTTTTGTTTTGTTTTTCTAGAGAATATTGCTGTGTGTGCATTCCCTCATACTGTTTCTTTCGTGATTTCTTTGAGATTGCGTTGTTGATGGGAAGATATTATGTGTTGAGTATGTTTCATGTTCAGTGTTTCAATTAACTCCGACAAATTCCTAGATCCTCTTTTTTTTCTCTCACTTCTTATTTTTCTTATTTATTACAGATGAAGCTTACCACTTCTGTCTTTTTCATGTCTTTAGTTATGCTTTTAATTATGTGTACAACTGTATTTGTAACAGTAGTATTTTTAGAACAAGCATGAGCATGGTGTGAAATAAGTGAAACCTTTACTTAACCAACAAAAAGGAAGAAGAAGAAGACTAATTCTATACATATGTCTGTGAGACTGACTGGGTGTTGTAAACAACGTTGAAGTTTAGATGCTGAACAAAGCTTTCATTTATTTGGCCCGTTTTGAAATCTGTGTAACCCTGGTTATGTAGAAACTGCAGACTCCAGATAGAAAATTCTTTTAGAATCGAAGCTACACAGAACAGAGATTGGTGAGTGATTTGCAAAGCGTTTTTTGTTTTTGTTTTTGTTTTTGTAATAGATTTTCAGTAGATTTCATATTGATGCCCTGTTCTTTGATTTGATCAAACAGTTAGTGTTCATTAAGTGATTCTCCTTTAGTTGTAGTATGTAAATGAATTATCAAGTTCGTGCACAGAATGCCAGAGTTTCTGGAGAATTTGCTCACAATCATATCATGGCTTGATCTGTCTTCCGCAGGCTCTAAATTAGGATCGTGACCGGTGTAAGTGTTGGTTGAAAAAGAAGTCTTTTTATTCTCCACGCGACGTGTGTTGTGCAGCCAGCCAAAAGGAAAAATTTGTTTAGAGCAGAATAGATGGGTTTTACCATTATAATGCTAAAATACGAACCTTCATCTTCATCCTTTCCCGCCCCTTGCCAAAGTAGAGGCCACCAACAAGAGCTCTTCGTCAGTGGCTTAGTGCTTAGGCTCTCGGACTCGCAATCGTAAGGTCGTGGGTTCGAATCCAGTCAGGGGCCCGACGTTGTGTCCTTGGGAAAGGCACTTTGCACAAATTTTCCTAACTTCACCCAGGTGGAAATGGCTATAGACAGTGAACGATCTTGTCAGTTTGATAGTGTTTGAGCGTGTGAAATCCGCAGCTTGCACTGTATGCTTCCGTGGAAGCCGAGAATGTTTCCGAGTGTTCTCAGACGGTCTGCTGGGGTAAGAATAGTTGTAAAGCGCATAGAGCATGCTTTTGAGCATGGATATGCGCTATATAAATGCAATTATTATTATTCATCAGCTTCTAACCTGGACTCTGTACAGTTGTATCCCATCCCTATAGGTCTGAATCTAGGTGCTTAATATTAGTGAAAATGGTGAAATGGTACAGGTTTAACGCCCCTATCAACATTGTTAGGTTATTTAAAAGGCAGGACCTCCAAGTTAAACGTCCATCTCCGAAAGAACCGAGTCAAGTGGGAAATTTGTGCTAAGTGCCTTTCCCAAGGACAAAACGATGGACCGAGCTAAAGCTCGAACCCCCGAACCCACAAGTGATATTAGTATTTGGTTTTTTTAAAAAACAAGAATTTTCAAACCCAAACAAACTTTGCTGTATCTATATAATTATAAAATTCAACAAGACTGATGGAAAGTTTGTTCTTCATTTTTTTTTCGGGGTTTGATAAGTCGCCGCCTCGAAGTGAGAGTTGTTCTAGCAGTAAATGTGATGCAACATGGTGGAATCAGGTGAACATCATTTTTAGGTCATATTTAGTTATTGGTTACGTCTTAAAGCTTGTTCGTCTTGCATTCGGTAAAAAGAACAAATCCATCAGGCTTGAATAGAAGTTAAGATATTTGCGATTGAAAGACGTGGGGTCGCCTGGTTTCAGAGGTAAAATTAGCGAGAAAATGGCCGCCAAAGTTTGGTAACTTCCGAAGCTTGAGTGCCCTTTGGAAACTGCAAATTTACATTTTTTGTTCCTTAAATCAACATTTTCAGTGATTTCCATACAGAAATGTGTTTTTAAATGGACATAAAAGGTGTTGAGCCAAAAACCAAAAATTCAATAAAAATTGCTAAACAGGCGGAAAAATGACAGGTTTAAAAAAAAATTACTTTGACGAGAGCCTGATTCCACCACGATGCCTCACAAATGTTAAGCTCCTGTACTTTTGTACCATTTGGCAATCAACTGCTTTTGGCTCTCTGCACAACATACCGGCTGTAATTCAGGAATGGGCAAAAGTACCCATTTTTTTTCGCGGGGACTAGTGTCATTTACTTCTTTACTATCACGCCTGCTTTTTAAAACTCATATTCTACAGCATTAGATAATTTTCGCCTATAGTGAATCTGGGATTTACTAAGGTTTTTCTCTCCTTTCCTTTAAAAGATTGCTTGCAAAGCTGTAAATCAATATTTATTAGCTTACCTTTTACTGCAGTACTAATTTGCAGGGGGACGGGAAAGGATTCTCTCCTTGTGTCCACCAACAGACCGCATGATACAACCAAAATTTCATCACCTCATACTTGTAGAGAAAGTCACTCACCTCTTGTAATGCAGCATTCTGTTTTGACCTTTTTTGTTTTCCATTCATCCATCAGTGCACCTTTGTAAATGTTCTGGGTTTTTTACATTTTCCTCTCATTGTATTGCAAGAGGTTGGGCAAAGGAAAACGACCAGCTGATAGCCCCACTTGAACAGATCCGATACAGGGTTGAAAATAGTTCTACATCAGCAAAGTTTAGTGTAATTCTGATTATCTGGGGGGGGGGGGGGGGGGTTCTTCTGTTGAGAGGCACAAAGTGGTTTTCAGAATTTGAAAATGGCCTTGAATGATAACTTTTAAGAGAAAATAAAATTTATTTTTTAAATTTATTTTTGTTTTTTTCTATCTTTGTAAGAAGTGTGTGTACACTCAAAGATACTGAATTTCTGAATCAGTCCAAAAATTGAGAAACCTTAAATGATCTGGATTTTGCCAGATCATTGAACAGTTGTTGTACTTTATAAAAAAACAGTCGTAATAGAAGGTTTATTTGGTGAAATGATCATAGCCAGTTGGCACCTTTGTAAAGTGCTCATATGAACTTATGCAGTTGTGAGCGCCGTAAAACTCTGTACTAAACTAAAAAAAAAAATTCATCGTAAGCATTATCTAGTCAGCTGACTGTCCTTGTGAGGATGAACATTTTAAAAATCTTGTACCATTTTACGATTTTAGCACTCATCAGAAATTTCTCAATTCGTTGCGTCGGTTTACAGTTAGTGTTTCAGCCAGATCCGTGTTTCAAATTGTTTAGCCTGATACAGGGTTTTGCCTCATGCGGGACTTTTCTCTTAATTCTGTCACTCTCAAACAAAAATATCTATTTCAACTTAAAGTCGCTTGTAATAAATGGACAGTTTTATCGTGTCTTCTTCTTCTTCTATGTTTGTTGTTTTG